ACAGGGCCTCTGCCGTGCACGTAGAACTCAGTGGTGCAGCAGGTCACCCAGGAGTCTGCACYTGGAGGCCCGCTCGTGAGATGCATTCAGACGCATGTGGTCAGCTGACGCGTTCTTAAATAGCAGAAGAATCCTGTAATATTTTGATTAATGGCTTCCTCGAGGACAAAGCTCTTTTATACAGACAGCTCTATTAGGAAAAAAACCTCAAGCCAAAACTCCTTCATAAATCATGCAAAAARTGGCTGTGAAAACAACAAAAATAGCGCAAGTGCAGTCTCTATTTGTCTTTGGTTAGATGTTGATAAATAGCGCTCTTCCTTGGCACAGGTAACTGCTGAGCTGCTGCGTCAGCCCCAAGTCCTTCTGCACCTTCCGTGTGAATCTGTGACCTCTAGGTCCCTCGATTTCATAGTGCAAGTGCCCYAAGGAGGTTTTCATCTCTCAGCCACTTGGGCTTCAGAAGCCCAAGGAGGGAAGGAGTTATTATTGATTACTACCCCTTCTCAAAACTTCTCCCACACACCAGTACCTTCTGCTAGGAGAGAAGGTTCCTTGAGGCCCTGGGAGCCCCTGAGAGTGGAAGATGCTTCATTATATTGCTTTTCTTTTGAGGTCGCTAGCAGCACACTGTCAAAGCTGTCTGATTTGCCCTGTCCCTCCGGTCTTCTACCTGCACCTCTGACACACTTTTCCCTATCCTGACCCCTGCTGCTTTTCTTTTACACACACACACACACACACACACACAGCCACATATACATGTTTACAAGTTCATTTAAAAGCATTTAGGATTTTTTTTATTTCTTAATAATTTGTCTGACAACCCATTGTCTTTTGAATTATTTATCCTCAGCTGTCACCATGAAAGTGGGCCATAATGTGTGCCACTGGGCTCATAGAAGGCACTGTGAGGCTCAGTTTGTACTTGTGGATCAGGATGGGTGGGGGATCAGGTGACATCAGAGAGTGAACAGCCAACAGCAAATGTGGCCTCCTCTGCTGGGTTTGCTCTTTTCCTATTCATTGGCAGTAAATTATTGTATTGAAGTGACAGTCACATAACACGAAACAACCAATTTAGAGTGCACGATTAGGTGATGTTTAGTACATTCACAAAGTTCTTTAAACTACCACCTTTTTGAGTTCAGAACATTTTCATCATTCCCAAAGAGAACCCTCTACCCTAGGCCATCTCTCCCAGTCCCTCCTTCCACTATCTAAATTTCTGTAAGGATTTCATTGAATCTGAATTTGTTTATTAGCTCAATAATTTCTGGTGGATTTTTTGAGGATGTTTATATATAAGATCATGTCATCAGTGAACAGAAAGAGTTTCAGTTCTTCTTTTGGTATTTAGATACCTTGTATTTCTTTTTCTTGCCTAATTGCTCTGGCTGAAGCCTTCAATGCAGTATGAATAGCAGAGGTGAAAGCAGACATCCTTGTCTTCTTCCTGATCCCAGGGGCACATTCAACACTGAGTGTGATGTTAGCTGTGGGGTTTTCTCAAAAACCTTTTTGCTAATACCTTTTATTAGCAATAACTTAAATTCTATGAGTATAAGTTTCCTTATCTGTCATTTGCCTTTTTCAATGAAAAAACTGTTTTTTTCCACATTTTTATTGGTGCACTACAGTGGTGTGTAATGATGGGATTTATTATTACATGTTTGTTCATGCACCCACGCCTAGTCTTTTGAGGAAGCTCCATACTGATTTCCATAGTGGTTGTAGTAATTTAGAATTCTACCAACAGTTTAAAAGTGTTCCTTTTAGCCCACATCCCTCCGGCATTTATGATTATGTATTCTTGATGACTGTCATTCTGGACTGATGTGAGATGAAATTTCAGTGCAGTTTTGATATGCATTTCCCTAATTGCTAATGATGTTGAACATTTCTCATATATTTGTCACTTGTATTTTTTCTTTTGAGAGTATCTGTTTAATTCACTTGACCATTTGTTAGTTATATTATTTGATTTGGGGTATAATTTTTTAACAATAACTTTATTTGTATGTCTGTTTGTCCAAAATCTGTCTTTCTACATAGACCAGGGTTAGGAATTATTTTCTGTAAAAGGTCATAAAGTGTATATATTTGGCCTCAGGGACCTCACTGTCTCTGTTACAAGATACCTCCTAGTGCAACATGTATGTGTGCATGGGAGTGTACATATGAGTGTGAGCATGAGAACGTGTGGGTGTGTACATATGTAGCTGTAAGCATGTGTGTGTGACTGTGAGCATGACTATGAGCATTTTGTGCATGTGCGTGTACATGTGTGTGAATGTGAGTATGTGCGTTATGTGAATGAGAATTTATGTGTACATGTATGTGTGAGCATATGAGTGCATGTGTGTGTATGTGTGTGAGTGTACAATGCATGTATGCGAATGTGTGTGACTGAGAATGTGTGAATGTGTTTGACTTTTATGACTGAGCATGTGTGTGCATGTGTGTATTGGAGGATGTGTGAGTGCATGAATAGGTGTGCTAGTGTGAGTCAATGCGTAGGTGTGAACACGTGTGTAAGAATATGTGAGTGCATGCATGTGGGAGTGTAAGCATGTGAGTGCCAGCATGCCAGAGTGTGTATGTGGTGGGAGAAGTGACAAAGGTCTGAGGCAGGATGTGGTGGGTACAAGGGTCAGCTAGAAGGGTGCTTTCTTTAGCACTTGAGGATTCTTGGGCCTTGCCCTCACTCTTATTTTGTAAGTCTTATTTTGGTTGGCACCTGTTAAAAGGAGATCTTATAAATAAGACTTGATGGATGAAATAAATTTTTCCAACTCAGATATATATTCTTGAGTCCTTGCCACTGCCAGTCCATTTTCCATGGTGACCTAAGTTGTCTCACAAAATGTAAAATTGTCCATATCAGCCACAAGAACAAGATTCTCAGTGGATCTCTTTCTTCCATAGATATGCTTATGCCACAGACTAATCCCTTTATGTGTGCCATTGAAGACACTTTTCTATCCAGATTTAACCTCATTTTTGGCCATTTCTTTACCTTTGAGACTATAATCATACCCCACAGTAGAGTCACACCCCAAGACCATAGTCACATTCCCAAAGTATAGTCCTGTCTCTAGACTGTAGTCATATTTCCAGAGCATAGTCATGTCTCTAGGCTGTGGTCACACCCCCAGACTCTGGTCACACCCCCAGACTCTGGTCACACCCCTGGGCTACAGTTTACACCTCTAGGCTTTCGTTACAGCTTTACCAGTCATGTCCTCAGATTGTAGTTCCAGGTGGCAGTCACACCTTTAGACTGTAGTCGTACACTCCTACACTGTACAGATACCCCTATACTGTAGCTACACCCCTAGATCGTAGTCATACCCTTAGTCAGTAGTTATACCCCCATATACTATAGTCACACCCCTAGATAGTAGTCACACCCCTAGATAGTAGTCACACCCCCATCTACTATAGACATACTCCTAGATTGTAGTCATACCCGTATAGTCTGAACCCCTAGGTTACAGTTACGCTCCTAGATTATAGTCACAGCCTTAGAAATTATCATTCATCGTAGTCAATTGCTTTTCTGTCTTTCTGACCCACTGTGTCACCTGTGGCTGTGAGCACGGCCCTGCTCTCCTCATGCTTGTATTTCCAAGGACTAAGAGGGTAGCTGGCATAACGGTCAGATTGGGGTGATTGCTGTGCTGAGTTACTTACAGAGCAGAGATAACAGGTACCTCTTCCGACTGAAGTGCGTAGCAATACTATGATATCAGATGTGGGGGCTTTATGGAAAGTAAAGTCTCTGGGCGCACCAAGGGGCCTGGTGCATAATACACGCACACGTTGAACTGATTGGGTTCTTAGACACTGCAAACTTCGTGTTCTCTGAAACCGTCCCCACGCTGGCTGCCAGTGCCGCCCGCGGGACACCAGAGATAAACTTCTGGGCGTCAGGCCATCCTCAGTGACTGCCACTCACCCGCTATTGGTGCTGCCAGTGGGCCAGATACTCCACAAGCCCCTCTTCATAGAGACAGGATCTTTGTCCTGGCGTGTTAAGGTGCTCTTCACAGAGCCCTAGGGATTAGAAGTGTTACTTGGAAGAAGAGGAAGAGCAGTGGTGCCCCTGGGWAGCCAGTCACCTTCTGGGTAGGGTCCTGTGGCCAGGTACCACACAGCCACTGGTCCACTGGGCAAAGTTGTTCAGAACCGCTCCRGCCGCCTCAGCAACTCTGTGTGATCTATGATCCTTTCAAAATAAAAAGCTGAATCAGGAAGTCGAGCAGAATGGTGGCTTTGTATGAGGTCTGGACATGGTTCCGCTGGGTATGGAGGGCCCTCCCTGGTCTGTCATCTCCACCTAAGCACGTGCCTAAGGCCGGACACAGGTGGAGGAGGAGGAAGGCCCTTCTGCTGGATGGAGTCTGTCCCCAAGGCCTTGACACACCTCCCCTGGACCTTTGGCCTCTGCTCCCATCTCCCCTTGTCACCGAGGAGTCCTTGAGAAGGAGAYGCGAGCCCCTGCCTGCCTCCCTTTCCTGAGTAGCTTTCCTCCTGCACTTACCACCTCTAACTTGTTACACGTATTTTTTACTTTTGGTTTTTTTTTGGTTTCTATCTCTTCCCACTAGCATGTGGGCACGGCAAGAAGCGCGCGCATGTGTGTGTGTGTGTGTGTGTGTGTGTGTGTATGTGTGCACGTTGAGTCTGTCTATCCTCATGTCCTAGAACAGAGTTGGGCACCTAGAACACACTCAGCAAACGCTTGTTGAACGAATGACTTTCTGTAGAAAATGAGATCTTGAACATAGCTGTTCCCCGAGAGAGAAATAGCTCAACTCTGCCCATCCTTGTACGAGAGCAAACCTGCCTTTGAAGCTAAGACCTTCTTCCTGTGTTCATACTTCAGAGAAAGAAGACGCTACTGATAACATCTGAAAGGAAGGAGACCGTCATTGTGCTGGGCCTGAGATGTAACGCTGTACAAATTGTTTTTTTTTTTTTTAATGCAGCAGCCTCCCAAGCAGTTTCCAGAGATGGATTATCTTACTTTCCTTTTGGCCCTTCTTCATGTACACAAAGGTAAAAAAAAAAAAATCTTTTTGTCTTCATTTAACAAATTAACTCGATTTTTGGTATTTCAGTGTGATATGTGCAGGATTTCTTTGATGATTTCTCACTTGTTCCAAGGGCTAGAGGTTACAACTGCCAACATGAGCAGTAGAAAACTGCCAGTCTTCCCAAGATCTCAACTTCCTTCCTTCCTCTAATTAGAGAGCTTAAGGTATTTATTTGGTATTCCATTATCAGGTCTAACTGAATTTATGTCATGTTGTATATTTCAGCTCTATGTGAAGAGACATTTTGGGACACGACTATTAAATTTGCTGAGAATATGACTCTAGAATGTCTGTACCCATCAGTGGACATTACCCAGGTGGAGTGGTTTAAGATCCACGAYGTGCAGAAGTCTATAGGCATTCTCCACCCCACTTATGGTGTGGTCRTCCATGAGTCCTATGACAAGAAGCTTCACCTTTTGAACTCATCGACGGCTCCCAACACTGCGATCCTCTCCTTTTATAATGCCTCTGAGACCGATGTCGGCACCTATTCCTGCTCTTTCCTGACTTACACACATGGAATTTGGAAGAAGACAATACGTGTGGTTCAGTCAGGTAAGGGCGGATTTCGTTCTCCCTCTCCCCACCCCACAATATTGAATTCCACGATACTGAATCCTGTCAAGCCCAAGTGGAAGCTGCAAATGCTTTATCCTATTCTTGGGGCTTTCCCCCAAACCCTTTTCCAGGCTGTATGATCTTACTGTTTCCAAGGAGTGATTCTGTGGACCAATGTCATTTCTTAGTGTGCTGTCGTTTCCGCGTGGAAGCGTCTCGTTGATTTCAATGYGGAAGCAGAAAGCACGGGCTCTGGGTGTCTTCGTGGGAACACGAGCCTGGATTGTGTGGATGGGGCCACATGTGAGTTCAGGAGCCAGCCCTGGGGCTAGGCACTCAGCACTGGCTTCAACCTCTGCACGGCTCCGGGTCCTTGTATACTACGTCATCTGAGATTATTAGTGAATCCTGGCAGGGTGCAGACAGTGGCCCTGTCTTCCGCCCCTTCCAAATTCAACTAGAGAGGAGTCTTCCTTCAGAAGTCACTAGCTCTCGTGTGAGAGTCCAATGATGTCTTGGGATATGTTTGCTCTGTCCCCCTGTGGTTGTGGTTTGGTCCTTCTGCAGTGGCCACACAGAGTGGATATGATTTACTGAGAAAGCTTGGGTGTTGTAGCCAGTACTTTTATATCAACTTGTATCCGTGGCACTCCCTCCCTCTCTTAATCTTGGGTTTCTGAAATGGTAAACTGAGTTGATAACAGCACTCTCTTTGTTGAAGAGTTTAGGGAGACTATATTTAAAGAACTTGGCCCATGCTCATCAGAGAATAGGAGGTATTACTACCATCACTATTACTWGCATTTCCTGTGCTTTTGATACAAAATCATTAATGTTGACATTTTCATATATAAGTGACTGAAGTCTAATTTTGAAACCATGCATTTCTTACCTGGTGACTTTCAAATCACACTCCTTGGACATATAGAGGAGAACACTATATGATTTATTTTTAAGAGAGTCATGTTCTGTGCTTCACACACACGTGTGCTTATTGCTTTGTGTGTGTGTGTGTGTGTGTGTGTGTGTGTGTGTGTGTGTGTGTTGCAGGTAATTGAAGCCAGGGCTGCTCACATGCCAGGTGAACACCCTGCGGTTGAGCTACAACCCCAGCCCAAGCAAACCCCGTTCCAAAGCACGATTACAGTATTATATGAGGAATATAAGGTATTGCAAGGAAAGAATGTTTGTGTACATGGTTTCCTTTTCTCTTTGTGTTTAGCTCAGGACTAATTTTGTGTATAGAGCTAGRACTTATAGAGTTAATTGGCAACACTGCCTTAATTACACACTAATTTTTTGAAAGACTCCATCTTGCCATACAGAACCCATTTGCTGCTGTGTGCAGACATCTGTTCAGTGCTGTTTGCAAGTATAGTCCCCTTCCGACCAGTCTTTCAAGTAAAGGTGTGGGTTGGTGAGGGTCTTGGGATTGCACATGGGGCCTGAGCCTCCAGGGCTGGAAGGAGATGGGCCCCTCTCCCTGCCGTGCGTGGTCCAGCCTGAGATTTTAGCCGCAGGTCAGGTATTTCAATTTCTGTTACAAGGCAACCAATTGAAAACAGGCAGCCCGGCCTTTTCTGAATGTTTAAGATGGAGTACGGAGCTGAATTGTCAAGGTTATTGCTGTGCCATGGTAGGATTTTTAGCATCATGTGCGAACAGCTTTGGGAATTGTCCTCTATTCTTATCATCTAAATCTGTTGGTCTTCTTATGTTTTGAACAGGGTAAAAGAGAGTTCCCCACCTGATGGGCTTTTTCATGATCAAGGGTGAAATATTCAGCTAGTTGCCAAAGAGGTCCCCAGTCCTCATCTGGCTCCATTCCTTGTGATGGTCGCTTTAAACATGTTCTGTTCCTGTTGGTCTTGGTCATTTTTATTTTTACAGAACAGTTGACGTCGTGAACCAGTGAGGATCTTCTACCTGACTGGGAGATTTGAGGGCTTCCTTGTTTCAAACTGAGGATGATAGAGACTTTAAACTGAATATTAGTTGTATTTCAAGGTTTACCTTGAATATAACAAAGACTTTCCTTATGTGTTCTGTTCACAACATCCAGGATCTCTAATGATTGCATTTGTGGTATAAGGTCAAGGGGAGCTGATTATCTATTTAACAAGAAAAAAATAAAACTCGGAATCTGACAATTCTAATTTCTATAACAGATGATAAGAACTTCAAATGGACGAAGGAATCAAGTCCCTGCCCTCCAAGTGGGTTGACTTCTGCTACTTGTTGGTAGCTTTTCAGGTGTGAGGGATTGCACGTGTCAGTGTTACACAGATCTTCTCCCTTAGCCCCTATTACACACTTGAGTGTGGGCATTTCTTTGATTTTACAAGTGAGGGACTGAGGTCTAGTGGCCTTTCCAAGGCTTCAACTCTGCCTGGGTCCCACTGGGCAAAGTTGTAACTAGACATAAAGTGACAGCTTGGGGGACATGTTCCCCCACCTGGGCCCTTCCTGGGAATCATCAACCATTGCCCACCTTGTACCTCCTCCTTCCCCTCACACTTTCTGCCTCGAGTTGGGCCAATTGAATGTCTTATTCTGGATAAACAATACTGCTAATAAAAAAATTCCTTAAAAATGTGTGTTAGTTTAGGAATAGACATTTGTGAATTAGCAATGGATTTAGACTATTTCATAGTAATAACAGCTGCATGAATTTTAGTTAATTCATGGGGAAACCTGTTGAGGTGACTTAGGAGATAACATTTCAAAAGCAGCCCTTTTGTGCAAGGGTAGTGATGGAAGTAGGGTCCTGGGGAAAATTTCTGCCTCCCTGAAATCTCTGGCCTTACTGGTCAAAGTAAAAGAAAATGTAGTTTCTGTTAAAGGAAACGTAATTCTGTTTATGAAACTTACCACCAAATGGGTGACCCACTCAAATATTATGCTACTTAACTTTCACACGGTACCTACTTGGTATGAAGTATCCAAATGTCATCTCATTTAACATTTGAAAAGTACMATGGAGTGATCATGTTTTCCATGTCAGACTGAGGGCACTGAGATTCAGGGTCATTAACCAAGACGTGGCACAAGACGTGGTCTCAGAATGGGGAAGTGACTCTCTCCCTGCCTCATCAACAAATGGGCTCAACTCAATATGATACTTTGGGGTCTCAGGTATCTTCTATATTAAAAAAGAGATTTAAGACAATGTGGGCAGCAGAATATTAGATATAAACCTGGAAAGTTACTGTGACCCAGATCTTGATGTGCTGAATGGAGTTTGAACCTCTCTAATCTAGACCTTGCTGAACATTTTTTAGAGAGAGAGACACAGAAAAAAGACCAGTTTGTTTTTCACTGCCAGCAAGATTAAACTAGGTTCAGGTTAAGTCCCAAGCCATCTGCTGGGGTGCCGCCTCTTACTGGGGGAGGCCAGTCTTTKGTTGTATTCAGGTTTTCACTTGACTGGATGAGGCCCATCCACATGATGGAGCCCATCCACATGATGGAGGACCATCTGCTTACTCCTARATCGCTGATTTAAACATTAATCTTATCCAGAAACACTCTTCAAGTTTACTCAAAAAATTACTATCTCGTCTATTTTGGAAAATCATATGGCGTTCGTCGGGTTAAAGAATCACATATCCTATTATCCAATAATTCTACTGTTTGATGTTTTAAAGATTGCCCCAATTGGGAGAAGTGCCCAACAATATTTGCAATAGTGACCGTAAGAGCAAAAAATCAGTAACAAGCCAAGTACCCATCCCCAATAGGATGGGCAAAGACCTTGGCAGCATGCATACAGCAGTGTACTCTGCATCCCTGGAGAAGCACTGAAGTGTGACTCTGCTCACCAACAGGGATGAATCCCGGGAACAGCGCGTCGACGAAAGCCAGCAAGTTACCGAAGGATACCCAGGGCATGATTCCTTTCCTTTAAAGTTCAGAGACATGTAAAGTCCAACAATATGTTATTTATGTGTGTCAAACACAAATGGTGAAACTACAAAGAAAAGCACAGCTTAAAAGCGTGAGCGGGAAGGAGACAGAGTCAGGAGGGGCCACAGGTTTTCAAAGCTCACACTGTTGGTCTATACTCACCTAGAGTGTTTTATTTCCCACTTGTCTCAAAAATATTTTATAACATTTCTTTCAGAACTACTGAATTCTAATACAAATGTTGAAGAAAGATGTGATTCTGATTTTTGAGCAGTTCAAAAATAATCGTCTAAGTTAAGGATGAGGTTTTCATTTGGATTTGGCCTGCAGGTCAAAGAGAGGGAAGCTGCAAGAATGATTCTGAAATTTTATGATCCAAGGAAAGAAAAACGATAGTTTCAATTGAAAAGATGGGAAATCAGGAGCCCACCACGGCTTGGAGGAAAGGAGAAGTGTCAGTTTCAGGAGCACTGAGTTGTCAAGTAGCCTGTGATTGGCTGACAAAGGGACTATTGAACTGATGAGTAGGAACTGGTATTGGAGATCAGCGGTTTTCCAGTCATTGGAGTGAGACGATGTTAAGAAAGACGGTTGGTGAAGTCCTATGGACCGAGGCTGCGATCCAAGTGGGGCTCCAGGAGGCTGGTGACCCTGACACACAGGACACAGGGGAAGCAGGGAGAAAGCGGGGTAAGGAGAGCAGACGCGGAGCAGGTGTGCCACTGACTTGGAGCAGCAGACACGTGTAACTGGGGTGGCAGGGAGGTGGTCATCTGTCCTGCTCCACCCAGCAGGTGCTTGGTGTTGGCCATGTCAGGAGTCTGACCCTGTGAACTCGCATGCAGTTCTGCTTGTCTCGACTGGGCACAGATGTTTCACACAGTCTCCGTTTAAGGCTGCTTTCTGTCCTGGGCTGGAGGAGGCTGTCTGTATCACCCAGGCTTGTTCTGAGAAGGCCCCATCCTTACTCCCGTCAAAGCCAGTGCTCACAGCCTGGGGGCCAGTCGCTCTGCTCGTGGGATCTCCTCCTGTGATCTTACATATGTGTTTCTCCTTAGTGGCCCTTTAATATCAAGGGCTCCAGAATGGAT